CTATAAGAACATAAGAGAAGCCAATGTTGGATCAGGCCAATGGCCCATCCAGTACAACACTCTGAGTCACACAGTGGCCAAAAATACCAGGGGCCATCAGGAGGTCCAGCAGTGGGGCCAGGACACTAGAAGCCCTCCCACTCTTGCCCCCCCCCCAAGCACCAAGAATACAGAGCATCCCTTGCCCCAGACCGAGAGCTCCTATCTATACCTTGTGGCTAAGAGCCACCGATGGACCTCTGTATGCTTATCCAATTCCCTCTTGAAGCTGTTCATGCTTGTAGCTGCCAACACCTCCTGTGGCAGTGGATTCCATGTGTTAATCACTCTTTGGGTGAAGAAGGACTTCTTTTTATCTGTTGTAACCTGAGTGCTCAGCAATATCATTGCATGCCCACGAGTATGCTTATCCAATTCCCTCTTGAAGCTGTTCATGCTTGTAGCTGCCAACACCTCCTGTGGCAGTGGATTCCATGTGTTAATCACTCTTTGGGTGAAGAAGGACTTCTTTTTATCTGTTGTAACCTGAGTGCTCAGCAATATCATTGCATGCCCACGAGTTCTCGGCTTGTGAGAAAGGGAGAAAAGTACTTCTTCCTCTACCTGCTCTATCCGATGTGCAAAGTTCGTAAATGCTTTCCCGTTCGTTTCAGGATGACCTGGACATCAACATCGAATGCATGTCTGAAGAAAAGCACCCTAACAGGAGGGTTTGCAATGTCAGCTACCCATTCTTCCGGGCCAGAGCAAAGGTAAGGCTGGAGGCGAGCAGAAAAACTTGCACCAACAGCTTCAGTTAAACAGAGGAAGGGAGGGACTGCGGAAGTCTGCCTTGAAACCGCCACTTGAGAGAGCTCCAGCTAGGATGTGGGCATCGGAGCTGGATTTGAGTGGGGCGAAGGTGTCATGTGGAGAACTAAGTGCAAATGTGCAGGAAACCGGGAGATAGAGGGGACCCGATTCAGGGAAGACTTAGTGAGAGGCAGGCCAAGGGAATGGAGAGGGCGTTTAACGGTACACTTTTCTCGAAGAGGATCCGCTGGCCTCTTGCTGATTCCGAGGGAAGCTCCAAAATTGTGGCTCCAGACGTGACGATAAAAGCTTGAGAAAGACGTGGAGTCATTTGCCTTCAGTGCCGTGGCCCCCTGGCTCACAGGAATGTCCCTGAGTTCCACCTGGCTTCCTATCCACACGAAAGCTCCGGAGGGCCATCAATATGTGGATCGCCTCCAGGGCTGCATTCAGACGGGCAGCTAATCCCGCCATTGGCCCAGCTCTACTTTGATCCCGATCTTTTAAATCCGGTGTTGCAGGACCGGACAGCTCCCCCGTGAATCCCCTTACCGCGTGCGGACTCCGCGGTGGATGGTCTAGATGGCATCCACCTGAAGGAGCCTCACGGTTGGGTCTTTTAAAAAAAATACTGTTTGCGCCTGCACCTCTGCACCTCAACGTGTACCTGTGTTGCTAGCAAGCGGATTACAAGTTTTAAGCACATGGTGCGGCCACATGAGAACCCTTGAAAGAGCCTCCCTTCCCTAAGCAGGAAACCTTCAGCCTGCAGCCTCCCTGAATTTCGGTTGCTTTCCCAGCACAGCTTGCAGAGAGCTAAGGGACCCCCCCTCCCCAGATAATCTGAGCACTAATATTTGCTTTGCAAGACCACGCAGCCGGACTGTGAAGCCAAGTCAGGATACCGTTGGCTGGCTCAGGCGCTGAAGGTTGGGGGGCGGTCAAATGCCTGTGTCCAAAACCTTTTATTCTAATCCTTTGTGTGTGGGGGGGGAGCAGTTTAAGGGTGGCTTTTTGAAGGGCTGCTGGTAACTTACCACCGAAATTCCTTTGCTGATGCATGAGTCAACTTTTTCCTGTTTTGCCCGAAGCATTATATTGGTCTGACTGTCTTGCTGTTTCCAGCAAGGATATCTGTTTGTTCCCCACCAGATGCTTGGAACTGTCAGACCCCCCCAATTAACGCTGACAAGAAGATGAGCTTTTGGGAGATATGAAAGCAGGAAGGTTACGGAGGTTTACGAGGGCTGTCAGACTAATGCCTCCTTAGCTTTTATGGCTTGTTTATACAAAGGGTAGTTCATGTCAGTTCAGGCTACCGACACTGCAGAAGTTCAGCTCTCGATGTGGCTGCAATTATCCCTGAGACGGAGTAACTAGGAGTACACTTTCCTGTTCTTTGTCATCCCTTGGCATGCAGTGGCCTTCTTATCCATCCTAACCCCGCCAGGTGAGACTGAAGCGCAAGGAACTGAAGTTTAAAAACAAGGGCGGCTTATAGACTTGGGGGTTCAGAGAAGGTCATTGTTGTATTTGAGCTTAACACTAGACGCTGGAGGGTCTTTTGTTCCCTGGCAATCCAAGTTTTGATCAGAATAGCTGTCAGTGGGGCTCTTAAGGCCCACAGATCCTTCCCAGTTAGGCTTGCCAAACTCCAGGCGGCACCTGGAGATCTCCCGCCAGGGGTCATTTCCTGCGGGAGCACACAGGAGCGGAGCTCCAGCAGTAAGGAGCTCAGGGGGCGGGCACATGCAACAAGCCCCGCCCCCTGCTCCCAGCAGCCCTCAGTCAGAGCAAGAAGCAGTCAGGTAAGTTGCAGAGCCCCCCCCCACCTTCAGGTACAAGCTCTCCCTTCTCTGTGAGGGCAGATCTGTGTGTCCCCCCCCCCAATAGCTAGCAATCCAAAACAGTCCAGTGGAGCCTGAGCGGTGGGTGTTGCCTTCTGACACACTTCCAGCGATGTCAGGGGGTGTGGCCTATGCAAATGAGTTATGCTAATGAGTTATGCTAATGAGCTCCTGCACCTCTTTTTGTACGAAATGACCCCTGTCTCCCGCCATTACGATTCATCTTCAGACTACAGAGATCAGTTCCGCTGGAGAAAATGGCTGCTGTGGAACATGGATTCTATGGCATTCGATCCCACCGAGGTCTCTCCCCTCCCCAAACCCCACCCTTCCAAGGGCTGTACCTCCAAAATCTCCAGGTATTTCCCAACCCGGAGCTGGCAACCCTGCATTCCAATTCAGCTTGCTATAGAACAACCCCTTCCCCTTTGCCCCGCATTTTGAGGATAATCTGTCTCCACCTTGGACTAGCTAAAGATTGCATGTGGGCTGCTCTTTTGAGTTTCAGGGTCAAAGAAAGTGGTAGATTTCATAGAATCATAGAATGTTAGAGTGGGAAGGGACCTTGCAGGTCATTTAGTCCAACCCCCTGCACTCTGCAGGAGCGTAGCTGAAAGAGAGCCCTACAACATACCCAAAAGATGGTCGTTCAGCCTCCGCTTGAAATCGTCCAGCGAAGGAGCATCCACCACCTCCCGAGGCAGTCTGTTCCACTTCTCAACCACTCTTACAGTTAGGAAGTTTCTCCTGATATTTAGCTGGCATCGACTCCCATGTAATTTCCACCCATTGGATCTAGTCTGGCAATCCGGAGCAAGAGAGAATAGATCCGTTCCATCTTCTACATGACAGCCCTTCAGATACTTGAAGACTGCAATCATGTCCCCTTGAAGCCTTCTCTTTCCCAGGCTAAACATACCCAGCTCTTTCAGCCTTTCCTCATAAGACCTAGATTCCAGCCCTCTCGCCATCCTGGCTGCCCTCTTCTGGACACGCTCGAGCTTGTCAACGTCCTTCCTCAAATATGGTGCCCAAAACTGGACACAGTCCTCCAGGTGAGGCCTGACCATAGCAGAATAGAGCGGAACTATCACCTCCCGTGATCTGGACACAATGCTTCTGTGAATGCATCCTAAGATTGCATTAGCTTTCTTCGTGGTCACTTCACACTGCGGGCTCATGTTTAGCTTGTGATCAACCAGAATACCCAGATCCCTTTCACATGTGCTGCTGTCGAGCCAAGTCCCTCCCATTCTATATCTGTGCCTTTGATTTTTTGTACCTAAGTGCACTTTGATTTTTTGTACCTAAGTGTACCTACTTTGCACTTATCTCTATTGAAATTCATTTTATTTGTCTCAGTGGCCCCCGCCCCCTTCTTCTGTCTGTACTGATGGCTGTAAACACTTCATGCATCCGTCGAAGTGGGGTCTGGCCCCCGAAAGCCTCCCCACTCTGTAAATGTGCTCATCTATAAGGTACCTGAGGATTCTTTGTTGCCATTCCCCCCCCCCAATTCGGTTGCCCTCTGGCATCTTCTTTGGGATGAAGTGGGCTAGAAAGCTAACCAAACTTCACCCTGGAGTAAAATGGGTCTCTCTCCCCAGTTCTTGCTCTTCTGGCTCTGTACTTCCGCCCCAAAGAGTCTTAACATGAGAACATAAGAGAAGCCAATGTTGGATCAGGCCAGTGGCCCATCTAGTCCAACACTCTTGTCACACAGTGGCCAGAAATACCAGGTGCCATCAGGAGGTCCACCAGTGGGGCCAGGACACTAGAAGCCCTCCCACTGTGGCCCCCCCAAGCACCAAGAAGACAGAGCATCCCTTGCCCCAGCCTGAGAGTTCCTATAAGAACAGAAGAGAAGCCAATGTTGGATCAGGCCAGTGGCCCATCCAGTCTAACACTCTGTGCCACACAGGGGCCAGAAATACCAGGGGCCATCAGGAGGTCCAGCAGTGGGCCCAGGGCACAAGATGCCCTCCCACTGTTGCTCCTCCTCCCAAGCACCAAGAATACAGAGCATCACTTGCCCCCGACCGAGAGTTCCTATAAGAACATAAGAAAAGCCAATGTTGGATCAGGCCAGTGGCCCATCCAGTCCAACACTCTGTGTCACACAGTGGCCAGAAATACCAGGGGCCATCAGGAGGTCCAGCAGTGGGGCCACCCAGGACACTAGAAGCCCT